CTAACTTAGTATGTTGTACAGGGTAAAAAAGGATTGCAGAGCGTTAGAACTTACTCTTTTTAAAGGGGGGGGTAGTGTAAAGAATTAAACCCGCGATCTCTACCTAATTAGGCCTAGCTCTACATTAGGCAAGCGGCCTGTACGAGGAACATTAAAACCTCTGCGAGCACCTAGATAGACCTGTACGCAGAATCTTAATTGTTACTCGAACTTAACCTTTATAGTTACTACTAGTAATATCTACTACGTACTAAAGTAGCTAAACGTCTAGACTAGTAGTTTCTATACTATTATACTTTAGTTAGTCTATAGCTTCTATTAAAGTTAAAGCTATATTTAATACTTTATTAAAAGCTAGTCTAAAAAGTCTAGCTAATCTAATTCTTCTCTATTAGTAAAAAGTAGAGAAGTCTAATACTATACCTCTCTTACCTAATCTTTCTACTAAAGACTCTAAGTTAGTTATCTAGCTTCTTTAATTCTTTACTATTAGTAAGAAGTAGAAGACTACTAGCTCTATATTTCTCTTTCTAAAATATAGCTAGTAGCTTATTTATTAATAATTACTAATAGAAGTTTAAAGAGTAGTAAGAGTATAGAATAGTATATATAGAAAGAAGTATATAGTAAAAACTTTAATTCTAACTAACTAAACTCTACTCTCTTACTATAGTTAGTATTTAAACTCTAATCTATAACGCTGCTCTAATCTAATACTTAGGTTATTTCTCTAAGTAGTACTCTAAATAGCTAAAATAGAATATAGAAGCTAAACGCTCTAAAGCTAGTAAATATTTATATATTATAGTAGTAGCACTATATAAGTACTACTTACTTATATCTTATAAAGAAAAGAAAAAAGTAAGCTATTCTATATCTATTATTACCTACCTATTTACTTAACTTTTACTACTACACTTTTACTACTACTACGTAAGGTTACTTATAAGAGTAAGTAGAATTACTACCTAGCTTAGCGTAATCTCTATCTTCTTATTATTATTATTATTATTATTATACGCTAAAGATATAGAAAAGGTAGAAGTAGAAATAATAGGCGTAGGCGTAAGCGTAGGTGTAATTATTAATAGTAGTATAGCTACTATATACTAAGTATACTAAGTAAAGTTCTAAGATAAGCTATATTACTATTAGTATATAGTTACTAACTCTAATAATAGTAGTACTATACTTACTTACGCTTCTAAACTATACTAGATCTTAACTTACTTTAGTAGAGCTTATTCTATTACTATTACTACTATTACTACTATATAATAAATTATAGTAGTAGTACTAAGATTATAGCGTATAAAGCGCTAAATAGAAAGCTAAATAGAAGAAAGTTAGAAGTAGATATTTTAAGGTAGTTACTACTATTATTATTATTATTAATATAAAGAGTATTATATAATATAGAATTACTATAGGCTAAAGTTTTAATAGCTATAAGTAAGATTATAGTCTTAAAAAAGATATATTTATTACTTATTACTTATTACTTATTACTTCTTACTCTCTATTAATTATCTACCTTCTATACTTATATACTATATTACTATACTAGTAAAGCTAGTGTTATAGCTACTAATATAAAGTCTTTACTTATTATAACTTTATATTTCTACTAGCTCTCTTATACTTATATACTATATAAAGCCTTAAATCTAATTATTTTCTATTAATAATAGTCTAATATAGTACTACTATTTAGTATATTAGTTCTTTACTAGTCTAGTAACTCTTAGCTCTTAACTAAGATATCTACTTAACTACTAGATAGGTAATTTCTTATATATAAAGTTACTATTTTTTTTATATTTAAGTTTAAGTCTTATCTATTACTATCTTTTTTTTACTTATAATAAGTCTATAGTAGTATAATATATAAAGGCTTTAAGAGCTTATAAGTAGTAGTAGAATACTTATAAACTTAGAGTAGGTAAGTAGTAGTAGAATACTTATAAACTTAGAATAGGTAAGTAGTAGTAGAATACTTATAAACTTAGAATAGATAAGTAGTAGTAGAATACTTATAAACTTAGAATAGATAAGTAGTAGTAGAATATAAGAAGACCTAGGCTTATAAGTAGTAGTAGAATACTTTTATTATACTATAGTAGTAAAATACTTATAAACTTAGAATAAGTAAGTAGTAGTAGAATATAAAGAGACCTAGACTTATAAGTAGTAGTAGAATACTTTTATTATACTATAGTAGTAAAATACTTATAAACTTAGAATAAGTAAGTAGTAGTAGAATACTTTTATTATACTATAGTAGTAAGATACTTATAAACTTAGAGTAGGTAAGTAGTAGTAGAATACTTATAAACTTAGAATAAGTAAGTAGTAGTAGAATACTCTTATTATACTATAGTAGTAGAATACTTTTATTATACTATAGTAGTAGAATACTTTATATATACTATAAATACTATAGTAGTAGAATATACTAGATAGTTTATTATACTATAGTAGTAGAATACTTTATATATACTATAAATACTATAGTAGTAAAATATACTAAATATTTTATTATACTATAGTAGTAGAATACTTTGCGTATACTATAAATACTATAGTAGTAGAATATACTATAAATATCTTATTATACTATAGTAGTAGAATACGCTAAATATTCTATTAAGCTATAGTAGTAAAATGCGCTAAATATTTTATTAAGCTATAGTAGTAGAATGTTTATTTTATAAACTTATTTCTTAATTATTATATAAAGAGATATAAAGGTAGTAAGATACTAATAAATTACGTTTTAGAGTCTAATTATATTTTCTTTATATTAATATTTGTACGACAATCACTAAACAGGCCCTAAGAGACGAAGGAGCGCGTGGCGTAGCTCGAGACGGAATTGAGCGCACGTCGAAGGCGGGGCATGTGCGTGGGATTGCCGAAAGCGCTACCGCAGACAGATAGACTTTAGCAAGTCATTCCTTCAAATAGAAGTCTAGACTGCTTCCTGTACATCTTCTTGTCTGACATCTGTCGGGTTGTCGTCGTACACGATGCTGTTTGTCGAGTGCAAGGGCACCCCCTATGAGGTAAGTGTGACGCGTGACGTCATCACTGCCGCCGCGACGAAACGCGACAGCGACCAGGATCACGCTGATCTCGCACAGATTGGCTACCAACACGGTAAAGCCGCAAAATTACAGATTGCTCGTTGCATTGAGTTCTACGCGTGTCTCTTCCTGAAGAACTGCAAGAAGAGATGGCCGCAGGTCCTCCAACACGCGTCGACGTTTGAACAGCGAGCAAAGGCGCAATGGCCAAACTTCCATGAAGAGATGCAAGGCATTGCCGACGGCTCCGGACGCGAGTTGCTAGATATCGTAGCGATAAACGTCCGAACTGAGATCAACTTTGGCCTGTTCAGCGATGGCTGCACTGCCCTCGCGTGGCACACCCAGAACCGGGCATGGTTAGCGCAGAACTGGGATGTATGCAGCACCTCTAGAAGAACACGAAAGCGATGATTGTATGCTGACGGTGCCCAGTGGATGACCGAGCAGCAAGAGAACCTTATTGTTACCAAGATCACACAAGCGAACAAGCCCACTATAGTCCAAGTAACCGAGGCAGGCATAATCGGAAAGATCGGCTTCAACAGCAGCGGCGTAGGCACGCTGTTCAACGCCATAAAAGTTCACGGCGTGGATTCTACCCGAATGCCCGCTCACTTTGGCTTGAGATTGGCACTGGAGAGCACGTCAGTCGACGAAGCAGTACGCAAGCTGGAGAGTTTCGGCATGGCATCTTCAGCCCATATTCTCATAGCTGATGCAAACACGTCCTTGGGCTTAGAATTCACAAAGAGCACTTTTGCGCACGTGTTACCAGACTCTAGCTCAAGGGTCATTCACACGAACCACTTGCTGTTGGAGCACCCTGGCGAAATCGATACTGTATGGCTCAAGGACTCCATCACTAGGGTTGAAACAATGGCAACGAACGTTGGAGCACTGGGCGACGATCCGAGCTGGGAAGACGTGACTCAATTGTTCGCCGACGAGCAGAATGCGCCGGGTGCGATATGTAGGTGTGAGACCGAGGAGACTGGAAGTGGTACCCTGTTCAACATTGTTATGGACTTGAAAAGCAAGAAAGCAGTGCTGAAGATGGGAAGACCAACACAACCAGAGGAAACTCTGAGTCTAGAGCTATAGAGCAGATGTACTGCATACTCGTCTTTATTTGAACAAGATTCCAAACTCTTACACTTCCACAGGAATGCCGGCAGTCAAGTGGATAAAAGCCCATAACTAGGACACGTCAGATGTGCGTACGCTCGCATGAACTGCCTGTGCCACTGCACAATGTGTCAGGAGATCTATATGCTTATCGAAAGTCGTCACACGCGAGACTGATGTAGTTGACTGCGTCTCCAACTTGCCTCTCGAGTAAAGACGTCTTGTGACTACGTAGCCGGTATGTGTATAGGGCAATTCTCGTTCGTGAACGAATATGCAGATACTCTGCGGGTAAATGGCCCGTCCTTCCCCACCGCAGCGTGGGGGCTCAATGCGCTCTGTGTTGGCAGTGCAGCACTCTCGGCGCCGTCGAATCCACCCGACACCTTGGTAGACGCTGGACGTGACCGGGCGACTCCCGTGCCGCGTGCCCCGCATATGGGTACGCGGGAATAAGCCACGGCAAGCTTTGGCGAATGTAACCTCATGATTATCGACTGTGCGCCCAAGACGTGTCCAGTGACGTTTGGTTGCACGCATATTCACACATGTTGAAATCCAGTCAAAGTGTTGTCAAGCTTGATACTCAGCGGAAGTGTAGAGCAACAAAGTACCACTGAAGAGATGTAAACCCGCGACCCAAGGGTATTTCATTAGTCCAAACCGAAAATGCGCAACGATTCCACATGCTAGCTAAGTAAATCAGTACAGTGCTGTAATGTCATCAAGTTGAAAGACGTAAATGCCGATGAGAGAGGAAACGTGATCGAGAAACGCCAAAGAGTACTATAACTCCGGTGTCATGTCCATATTATCATTCAAAGAGAACTCCGCATTCCAATCGGAAGGCGCGAGATTGTAAGAGTACGCACCCAGTGGGTCTGGTGCATCGATCGCCGAGGTGGGGTTGAAGACTGTCCAGAACTGGTAAGCCTCGTCGATCTCTGTAAGTATAGAGGGCGGCACTTGGTAGTCGTAGAGATTGCTCGCATCAGAGACCGTTTGTTGGAGTGTTGGCGGACAATAGCTCGCTCTCTGATTCAGGAATTCAAGGTATTCCTTCTTGACCGGAAGGAGTAGTCGCTCGTACTCTTCGAAACACCTTTTCGCGGCTGCCCATCGCTCTGAGATGGACAAGAAGCATTTCGAAAAGACGTGCATCCATTCTTCAACTTGTTGCCATGAGTATTGGTCCGCAACTTCTTTCGGACAGCGCTGCAAACCTTGCAAGAATATGAGCGCACAATTGAAGACATGATGGCATGGATGGAAGACGTATTTGATCTTTCCCGCTTCTGCCTCAGATTGCTGAAAGTAGCCGTCAGCAACCTTGACGGCATTGAGTAGAGCGATCATCATTTGCTCTTTACTTGGGTTCGGCAGTCGTCGAGAGGTGCGATGCAACAAGGACAAGACGTAAGGGGTTGCGATGTCGGAGTATAAGCGCATCTCAGTCCATCGTGCATTCAAGCTACGATCTTTGTTGGCCTCTGAAGCTGCATATATCTCGCGTTGCCAATCTGACATTGCATTGATAGTGTGTTGTACCCACTCCTCCAACGAGGAGCACTCTTGAGATATAGGGTCTTCATGCCACAAGACGGATATGACGTCAGCTTCGATAAGGCGAAAGCGACAAATGATACGCTGCGTGAATTTCGATAGTCGTCCAGTCGGTGATATGCTAGATTGCGTAATGGCGGTGTCGTCAATCTCCATGGGAAAATGAACATCTATGCGCCCAACCGGAAGACTTGTAGGGCGTAGAAATATGCAGCAGACGCCAACTTCCATCTCCCATGCACACCAAAATATACGTCGTCGCATGTCGCGTTGGTAAACGGAGACTTTAGCATCATTGGGCAGCTCTTGGTGCAATCCGAGGTCAATGACTGCTTGGCTGATGAGACCTGTCATGAGCCATAGATCGGCCATCTTAGGATTCAGGAAGATGTATTGGGTTAGTAGCAGTATAGCTTGTAGTCCAGCAATATCGTTGGTTGCAACCTCTGGAATCCATTGCATGGCGTGTCGAACAAGCTGATATGCAAGGTCGTTTGCCTTCTGCACATTATTCCGTGCGCTTGTTGTTAGTGAGATGGCCATGATGATGCAGACTATGTATCGATTTCGGAACGAGTCTTCATTTGGCGTTGCTGCTTTCTTGTGATAGATGGAGTTGAAAGCAGTTGTCACGTCGTTTCGATGGTAGATGGGGTATTGTGTGATGACGCGATCTAGGTAGTTTTGGAGTAGTTTGTTGGCGCCAACCTCGTCAGGCATGAGGTCATAGAACAGCCCCTTGGTCTGCTGAGGGTTCAAGATGGATCTGGGGTGGTTTTCGTTCAGATCGTTGGAAAGAACAGGTCCCTTTTTCGAAGGCAGCCTCGTGCCTCTGATGACGCACTGTAGGAAGGGCCGAGCTTTGCACACACCAAGGAAAGAAGGCGTGATGTCTTGCATGACCTGGTTGACGAGGCTGTCGGCGAAGGCACATTTCTCTGGACGCCAATTCCCCGGCCTCGAGTCAGATGCGTGAGAATCTGCCGGGGATGACAGAGTAGCACTTGACTGTCCTAGAGATGGCAGCGTCGAGGGCGTGCTGCTTTGGCCCTCGAGCCGCGCGATGTGCGCTTCCAGAAAGTCGGCAATAGAGCGCGGAGCTTCTTGCTGGGTTGAAGAATCGAATCCCACACACTGGACGCTAGCATCTACGCAACGCGTGCAGGCGGGAACCTTGCCATCACACTTGATGGAGTCAGTACATGTATGACGGGGGCAGAGGAAAGCGTCTACCGAGAGTTTACGCTTCCGACAGCGAGCACAGGCCAGCACGCGACGACGGACTTTGGTGCGGTTCTGCATGGCCAACCTCGAGCGTCTGGCGTCTGTACCACGATGGCGCCGTTGTCATGGCGGAGATGAAGGACTTGCTGGCGGTGATGATTCCCGATGGCTGGTGTTCTCGAACGAAGGACGGGATGCTGGCATGTGGGCGGACTGTGGGCACGCGGGATGCAGGCGGCCGGGGTGATCGCTTCTGTGTTGGGACGCCCTAGCCAGATAAGATCGTCGTCGCTCGCCATCCACTCCGCCCAGGCCTCCCATCGCGTCTCCGACCATTGTCGCTGACATGACGACGGCGCGCGATGGATCGTAGTACAGACGACAGCTCTGCTAGACCTTGACCCGTACCTGTCGCCTCCTTGCAAACTGCCCACTCCGATGGCCGCCGCGACCTCGAAGCCCCCCACGCTCGATCTAGATGCTCTGATTCAGGTAACGCCGCCGTCTCCGCAATTCGCCATCGTGCACTTACACTTCCCCAGAGTCTCCCCGCATGCAAGCGATGCCGAGAGTGTCGCCGCGGATGCGATACCTTATTGCCCAAGTGCAGGTACATGGCTTCTCTGTCCCACCCTGCGCGTCCTGCTAACGTTGTCAGGCAATGCACCAAAGCCGGCGTGGAATGCATGTTCTACGACCACGGACGCAATCAGCTGCTGCCGCGAAGGTGAGCAGACGAGGCTTGTCCTCGAACTCGTACTAAGACATGCCCAGCTACATCAGCGAGCTAGTAGATCGTGTGCGCAATTTGTCCAGTGGCCATGGGTCGCCAGCGACATCCGGCGGGCTCACGGACAATGGCGCCTTTGCTACACACGTCAAAACAGAATTCATCGCTTCTGAAGTTCCTCGATACGAACATCACTTCGCCGAAGCGGGAAACAGCTATCGATACCTTGGCGCTGAATCCTGCCTTCTCAAATCCCCCAGACTACACACTGCGCACGAAAATCGTGCCGTGCAGACTGACGAAGAGCTTGACGACTGGCACTACAGCAACAAAGATTCGCCCGAGAAGCAGTATGAGCTGGTGCAACTCTATCTCGAAACTGTGCAACCTATATATCCAATCTTGGATGCATCGCTCCGCTATCTCGGACCTGACGTACCTGGTGACCTGACGGACACCGAGAAATTCTCGTTGTATATGATATATTCCATAGCATGCTACATCCTTCCCAACACTCGTAAAAAGCAACCTCCTGATACTTGCTGGAACCCTAGGGGTAGGCTCACATACCACCAGGCCAATTCCATTAGATACCGGGCCCTTGCCACTCAGTACTTTGCAGATGCTATGGAACACCTCGAGTTAGCAACAATGGAACCAAACATCGACACAATCCGGTCGGTTCTTCTCCTCGCTATCAATAGCTCATTCGACCCAATAGCTGGCAACATTGGCCAGCAGATAGCTCTCGCAGGCCGTCTTGCATTCGATCTCGAGTCGAAAAGAGCGTTACAGGAGCTGGATCCCGACGATGTACAGCTACTGCGAGCCATGCACATGACCATATTCTGTCTTGAGAACCAGATTGCATCTACACTAGATAGACCTGCATTGTTTCCAGAGCCGGTGAGTCTAATAGCTGTGCAACCTTCTGGAGATTATGGCTCATCTATGGCAGGATGAAGAAATGTGTTTCGACAAAGAAAAGCCCGCGGAATACCTCTGCTCATTATATCGCATGCAAAATCGCTTCCGCAAAGGCGACCACATCGCCAAGGAGAACGTCAAGAAGCTGTTACCGCTATTTGACGAGAGAGACGAGCTACTCCCTGTCATACGCATTACCTTACACATAACACATTTGTTGCTGAATCCTTGTTGGGGGAGTGCATGGCATGTGCTGTACGTAATATCCGCATGCCTTGAAGGATGTCAAACTAACCATCACAAACAGAGAGGCTGTAGTGAGTTTCGGCGGCATCCATGTCTTCGTCACGCCACATTGGGTATACCGAGCAGGCACAGTGCTCATACAGAACATGCCGGCAATCTTTGGCGGGAACCTTATCCAGTTGTACTCCAACGCGCTCCTCGTTCTCGAGCTCTCTTCCTGGAGGTGGCCAAGCTCCGCTGCCCTCTCAGCCTCCCTAGTCGATCTCATGCAACACATGAAAACGAAGTATAGACCAGACTGGTCCGACAAACTTCAACAAGGCGACGTAAGAATATGACCTCCTGGCTAGTTGCGACTGCGAGCAAATCCCGTCTTTCATTTCCATCATCCTAATAGACCCCTCAGATGTCCTCTAGTTCCGCCGCGGAGAATATACGACAGACTCAAGCCCGGGGTCAAGGAGACATCGAAATCGTTCATTCCAGGTCCCGAGAATTGCCTCTCACTCCCCAGTCCTAATGTGAGAGATATCTGGATGCTCTCGTCTTATGGAATCATTATACCTTTCGGCGATGCTTGTATCATACGTCGCTGGAGCAGAATATGTTGGGCGATGAAGGGACTAAGGAAAGCTTTGGTCCACCAGGACAACGGGCACGTCTCTGTAACACGCATCATGAAACAATGCACAGAGAAGGGAAATATTCGCAAGATCCATGGGATAAGGTCGGTTGCCGTGGCATGCCATGGACTGGCAGAAGTTAGTGGCGTCCAACTACATGCGACCTATTACTTTGCCAACGAGTTACGAAGTACATGGCTACGTAACGATAAGATGCGTGTCCATACATCTCTCGACCATAACTCTCCGCCAGAGACTACTTCCATTAAGGCTATTGGTCATCTCTATAACGTTCTCTTCCTTCGAACCATTCACGTCGATCTGGATGTAATTTAGTGTTGGATCTTTCGTAACGTTTTACATACTCACATCGATCAAAATGCCGCGCTCACGATAAACTTCCTCCACGGGCAAAGTTTCTTCCTCATATTCAGAGAAGCGCCGCTCAAATTTCTCATCGCTATCGTTGCTATCCCGGGCTCGAGCCGAGTATCTGGCTTTGGCATTCTGTTTGCTGACGCGTAACGATAATACGATGTCTGGTTTTGCATTGGTGTTACTCCCGCTTGCGATGGGCAGATCTTTGGGAAATGGCCAGACGTTCCATGATTCTAGTTGCTCGGTGCTTCGTGGGAATCCATCCACCAGGATGCCGGCCTTGGGTGGTTGTTGGGACAATGCATCTTTGATTGCGCGCGCAATGAAAGGGTTTAACTCTTCTGATGTCAAGAACCCCTGGTTGTCGAGTTTGTCCTGGATAGTCACTGCGAGCGGTGCGTTGACATTTTCACGCATCCAGCTCCGCAGATTGTCGCCGACAGAGTAGTGTACCAGGTTATGGTCTCGAGCTAGGCGCGTACACAGTGTTCCCTTCCCCGCACCAGGTGCGCCTAGTCATGGGTTACTTTGAAGTCTAAAGAGAGAAGCTGAGCAGTATACCTAGTACGAACGCGATAGCAAAGCCGCGAGGGGATTCCTTGGTCTGATCTGAGGCTGCCATGGTACCGATAGCTGCTGGTAATGCGACCACAAGAACTGTACTTCCCATCCGAGGTAGGGAGTGTCGCGGTGGGGCACAGTAAGATTGTGGAAGGTGCTTGGTATGTGCTTCCGGGGCGTTCCACTGATTGTTAGCCTTGATTGCCGTTTGTAGCAAGCGCCCCCACTCAGTATATCAAGGAAGTTGGGATCGAAAGCGATTTCTTGCTGTTCAAGACCCACATTACCCAGGCTCGGAACTTCCTCTATCAGGCCGAACCATCACTGCCTGTATAGAATTTGACGCATCCCGCCCAACTTCCTCTTGTTTCTGAAGACTTTAGTTCTCTTGCAGCGACTATCACTTATCATCCAGGTCGTCTCCGGAAATACCGTTTACGATGGTGCTCCTCTCACTTGTCGCTGAAGTGCCCGCTCTTCGGTACTTTGTCGGGATTGTCCTCGCGACTTGCGCGTACGTTGTCTACAAGTCCACCGCTATCAAGCCCGCCAAAACTCTCACACCCGTATCACTTACTGAAGAGCCCTCTACCAAAGAGCCAGCCGTTCAAACTTCGGTTGTCCACGAGCCCTTGGATCCATCGAAGCCACCAAATGCGCCGGTGTCAGTCAACTACTTCCCTTCTCGGGAGTGCAACTACAAATGCAAATTTTGCTTCCACACCGAGACCAGCTCCTACATCCTGAGCGATGAAAAGGCCAGAGAAGGTCTGAGACTGCTCAGAGATGCTGGCATGCGAAAGCTCAATATCGCGGGTGGAGAGCCATTCCTACACCCCAAGCTTCTCTCAAGTCTGATTCGCTACTGCAAGGAAGACTTGAGCGTCGAAAGCATCAGCATCGTCAGCAACGGTAGCAAAATCACGGAGAAATGGATGCGAGAGAACTCTCAGTGGCTCGACATTCTGGCCATCTCCTGCGACTCATTCGACGCGCAAACGAACGTCAAGATTGGCCGTGGTGACGACGGGAAGAACGTCGCCCGACTGTTCCAAATTGCCGAGTGGTGCCGGGCCTTCAACGTGAAGTTCAAGCTCAACACGGTCGTTAATATACACAACTGGAACGAAGATATGGTTGCCAATATCGAGAAGCTAGCGCCATTCCGATGGAAGGTTTTCCAATGCCTCATCGTGGCAGGCGAGAACGACGACGAGACACGGAAGCGCGATGCAAGGACGTTTCTGGTCACTGACGAACAATGGCGCACCTTCTGCGACCGTCACAAACACCTACCATGCTACGTACCCGAAGACAACAATTCAATGGCCAGCAGCTACCTGTTGCTTGATGAGTACATGCGCTTCATGGACAAGGGCGAGGGCATGATGACGACGAGCGCGTCTATCTTGGATGTTGGTGTTGAGAAGGCCATGCAGCAAATCGTCTGGGACAAGAAGTCCTTCGTAGAGCGTGGCGGAATCTACGACTGGGGTCGGGCAGATATGAAACCGACTAAAGATACAAGCTGCGGCACTGGTCTCAACTTGAAGGAACTGGAGTTCTAGTTCGTTGGAGACGACATGAGCTTGATACTGGGCAATGTGGAAAGG